ATGAAAAAAAACGGAAAATAAGAAAAAAATAGAAAAAGAAAAAGAAAAATATGAAAAATATATATATAATAAAAATAATATCTATAACAGCAATAACAAAAATAATAATAATAAAATAGTGATCAAAACAGTAAGAAAGAAGTAAACAAAACCCATATAAACAAAATTAAAACGCTATTTTAGAACACAGGTCCCATGCCCCGGTCTCCCCTTCGCCTCAGCACATCATTCGCTCCCACACATCGAGATTCCAGTCAACCCAAGGCATATAGAAGACTTAGAAGTACCTTGAATTAATCACGCCCTATCCCTTACCTCCCCACCTCCCTCTCCTCTCCTCATTCACGGCATTCCTCTGCGCCTCTCTTATTCCCTATTCGCCCCTTTCCTCTCGTGTTCTCTTTTTCACGCGCTATTCGCAATGTCAACTGTGGTTCCCTTTTCCTCATTCTTATCACTTTTTTTTCTAATCTTCATCTTCTTGTGCCCTTTCTCCCTTCTTATCATGTCCTCCTTCTCTCTAATCTTTCATCTTTTGCCCTTTCTTCCTTCTTATCATGCCCTCCTTCTCTCTATTTTTTCCCTTTTCTCTCTTCTTATTATGTCCTCTCGTGCCCCTTCTCCCTCTTTCTTGCCCTCTTCTTCTCCCTCCTTTATCATCTTCTCCCTGCCCTTTACCTAAGAGCCTTCACATGGCCTTCGCAACATCATCCGTGGTCCCCGCATTGGCCCACGATTGAGGCTAAGGAACGGCATCCCTCAAAGGGCGTCGGGGGCTGGAGCGAAATCCTACAGGGACATCATCGTAGCTCAACATTGGAAGGGGGGGGGGGGGCGTGGGCATAATACAGGATCATTTCTCTTTTGTTTTCTATTTTTTTCTCTCTATTTTTACTCTTGTCTTATTTGTTTCCTCCTCCTCCTTTCCCTCGTTTTCTACTTCTACAATTTTTTTTCTGCTCTTCCTTCTCTTTTCCACTTCGTCTTCTTTTGTTCCTTGTTTCTATGCCTTTCTTGTCTTCTTTCCTTATATATACATGTAGTTGCGGGTACGATATGCATGCACATGTACCTCCTGTATGTTATGCTTTTGTAAACCGCCTTGATTTTGCTTCCATGACACGAAGAGCCGCTCGATGCGATTCTATGTTCGTTGACCACAATGTGACTTTGAGATAAACATCCTGAATATTTTCCCAATATATATCACTGCTAGCATTTCATTAAAATCATTAAAACATGCTTAATTGTGCGGGCTGTGTTTTCTTTATCTGTGCGTGTATGTGTGAATATCATACTGCATAACATAATGTGTCATGCAGACCACGTGGTGTGTGAGTGGTTCCTCGGAGGCCCCTACAAGTATGGGGCCGCAAGACTTGTGCAAGGGGCCGAATACAAGGCGACCCAGCTTGACCTCTCTCTCGGACACAGCACTCACTCCATAGACAGCCTGACCTCCGGAATGCTCGCCCTCCGCGCGGTGCCTCCTCGCTAGGCCTTGCTACCGCGGGCCCCACCAGCGCTGTCGCCTCGTACCGTGTTTATTTCTACTCGTGTGTAAACTCTTATCAATAAAGAGTCAGCCGTATACTTAGTATGTTACTCTGCTCCACCAGTATTAATGTAGACGGTATAGCCACTTTTTACAGTGTGTGTGTGTGTGTGTGTGTGTGTGTGTGTGTGTGTGTGTGTGTGTGTGTGTGTGTGTGTGTGTGTGTGTGTGTGTGTGGTGTGTGTGTGGTGTGTGTGTGTGTGTGTGTGTGTGTGTGTGTGTGTGTGTGTGAGTGTGAGCGTGCGTGCGTGTAAGATATATCTCCACATAAAACATGCAACTATTTGTTCAAGCACGTTTAATCTGTCGAAATTGCAAGTGAAATTGTTGTGAAATTTCAGATCGCCGTGATAGGTTATGTGCTCATTCTCTTTTGTTTTTTTTTTTTTTCCCTTTCTTGAGTCTTTAATTTTCCTTTTGAGCAAGAACGCGCCCAAATTAGAATGATCCGAAATCTGACGAAGCAAGATTTTATCAATTGTGACCCAACAGGGGAATCCCCTTCAGAAAAATAAAGAAAAAAGAACTTATTCAAATACAAAAGATTTCTCTCTCTCTCTCTCTCTCTCTCTCTCTCTCTCTCTCTCTCTCTCCTCTCTCTCTCTCTCTCTCTCTCTCTCTCTCTCTCTCTCGTCTCTCTCTCTCTCTCTCTCTCTCTCTCTCTCTCTCTCTCTAAGTCACGTTTATCTTTTCCTTCTCTTTCCCAAAAGGTCCGAATATCTGACCTTTCAGGCCGCTTCCTACGTCCCTAATTGCATCTTTGTCCTACTCGAGTCACGTGCCTTGGCTGTGTGTGCGGGGCCTCAGACACACACACGTGAGGCGGGTGTGTGGTTGTGTGTGTGTGTGTGCTTCTGTGTGTTGGGGGGTGGGTTGTTTTTGCATGTCTCCAGCTCAGTCTGTTTCTATGCTGTTTTCCGAGTGTGTGTCTGTTTGTCTGCCGCTGTCTGGATGTGTGTGTTTGTATATGCCTGTGTTTGTGTTTGTGTTCCTGTATTGGTGTTTGGGTATGGCTGTCTGTGTCTGCATGTCTCCGCAAGTGTGGCTGTCTACCTGTCACCCTGTCTATCTATTGCTTGTTATCTGCTCATCTATCAATCTATAACTCATCTTATATCTGTCTCTCAGTCTATCTATCAATCTCTTTATCGATCTACTACCCGTTCCTTCTATGTCCATCGATCTATCATCTGCTTAATTCATCTTTCTCTCTAGCTTTTCATCACTTCCCCTTCCTCTTCATCGTTACTCTTCTCCCCTCCCTTCCCTCCTTTCTTAAACTTCTTAAAGCCTCTCGAAATTACTTTAATTATGCGTCCATAAATTTAGCTCATTAAAGATTATGAATAAAGGAAGGAAGTGGAGGAAGAATCGTTAATTGCACTGCCGGTCACGAGAAACAAGCACGCGGATACGAGAGAGAAAGAGAGATAAAGAGGGAAGGAGAGACAGGAGAGGGTGACAAACAGACAGACACAAAGGCGGAGAAACTTATGAGAGTGGGGAGAGGAGAGGGAGGGAGGGAGGGAGAGAGAGAGAGAGAGAGAGAGAGAGAGAGAGAGAGAGAGAGAGAGAGAGAGAGAGAGAAGAGAGAGAGAGAGAGAGAGAGACAGAGAGAGAGACAGAGAGAGAGAGAGAGAAGAGACAGAGACAGAGAGAGAGACAGAGAGAGAGAGAGAGAGACAGAGAGAGACAGAGAGAGAGAGAGAGAGAGAGAGAGAGAGAGAGAGAGAGAGAGAGAGAGAGAGAGAGAGAGAGAGAGAGAGAGAGAGAGAAGATTGAGAGACAGAGAGAATGGGAAGGGAAGACTGAACGAGAAGTATGAGAGAAAAACGAAATTTTGATAAAGAAAGTATGAGAAACAACGAGAGAACGAGCAAAAGAGATAAAACATAAACAATAAAGAGAGAAAGCAAAAAATGAGACAGAAAGAGTCAGTGCGAGAAAAAAAGACGAAAAAAAGAAAGAGGAAGAGCAAAACAGCGAGACAGAAAATGGATGAAAGACAAAGAGCAAGAAACAGACAAGAAAGGAAGACCGAGAATTTGAGACAAAGAGAAGAGCAAAAAGAGGAAGGCGAGAAAAGACGACAGTGAGAAAGACCAAAAGAAAAGGAACGAAAGAGAAAAAAAGCCAAAAATAAATAAATAATAAATAAAAAATAAACAATTAAATAAAAAAACAGCAAAAGCTCCAAGTATAAAAAACAAAGAAAGACCTAAAGAAAGAAATAAAAAGAAACAGAACGAAGGAGAAAAAGGCAGAAGATAAAGATCCAGAGCGAGAAAGACCTAAGCAGAAAGACAGAAAGACCGAAAGAGAAAAAAAAAAACAAGAAAAAACAAAAAAAGGAATTCCGAATAAAAAAAAGACATTAAGGACATTAAAAAAAGACTAGAAGTCAAAAATACGCAAACACAGATAGACCAAAAGAGAGAAAAGACCCAAAATGGGGAAAAACAAAGGAGAGAAAAGTCGAGAGGGATTAAGACCAAAGAGAGACAGACCAAAAGACAAGAAAAAACAAAGTAAGAAAGTCTAAAACAAGATAAAGATAAAAAGAGAAAAAAAAGACTGAGGATGAGCGATTGAAAGAGAGAAAGAGAGAAAAGTAGACAGAAAAATCGAAAGAGAAAAAAACAAACGAACTGAAGACCAAACAGAGAAAAATACCACACGAAAGAAAGCCCAAAGAAAGTTAAAAAGACCGAAATCGGGACCTGCAAAAGCCCATTACCAGTCGATCGAATGAGAGAGAAACACTAACGAAATAAAGATTGAGAGAGAAAAGGCCATACGGAAGAAAGACAAAAAGAAATAAAGACTGGAAAAGAAAGACCGAACTCGAGACTTGCAAATGACCTTTACCAGCTGCCTGAGACCGCGAGCCCTTCGACCTTAGCTGACATTTCAGAGGAACTGATCCTTGAGGGAAGATGCAGGCCTATGTCGATTTTCCCGCAAATATATTTTTTCTTCTTCTTAAGCTCTGTCGTCCTTCACTCGTGGGTCTGTGTTTGAACTTTTTGAAATTGTTCTTCTATCTTTTCTTTAATTTTTTTTTCCTTTCCTCTCCCTTTTATCTTTCTCTTTCTCTCTACCCAGCAGATGGAAGAAAGAGAAAAGAGGAAGACTGACAAAGCATGGCGAATATAGGGCAAACACACACACAATCACGCACATAGTGATAATAGAAAGAGATACACTTAATAGAAAAAATAATAAAATACCGAAAAAGATACACATCAAAATGAAATGCACAAAACATATATGTATTTTCTCAAACAACTAATAATGATGACAACGATAAAAATGATAATAATCTAAAAAAAAAAAAAAAAAAAAAAAACATAAATACCAGAAAAACAAACAACACATCATCGACCCAGCAACAAAGGAACACCCAAACAACCAAAAGCCAAACAGCAACTAGGCTCGTACTCAC